GAGGCGTTCGATTGAGCGGTACGCGTATAAGACAGTTCCAGCGGGCGGCCGTAACACTCTTCTCCCCTTCTCCTGGCCCTGGTTCCTGGGGGAGAGAGCCGGTAGCTCGGGACTTATACCCAAGCGCTGCGTCCGCTTTATGGGACACCCATCTGTGACCCTACGCTCGCCTGGCTAGCACCCCCATCCCGATGTCCTGGCTCAGCCCTAGTTTGGTGTGCTAGTAGCTGCTGGTGTTCTTAACGACCTACTCATGGGCGCTTCCGTGCCATGCGGAGTCCCCATCTTGCTTGCTGTCGTTGCTAGCCTGCTTACGGGGACCGTTTGTTTCTGAGTGATTATTCTAGGGGTGTTGAACCCTGGTGACTGGTGGCTCATACCAGTCCTCTGCCGTGTCGTTTTGCCGTCTGGGGTAATGACGATACCCCCAGCAGTTTTATTTCGGATCATCCCAGCGGCTACCAGGAGCCCATCCCTATGTCTTGGATTGGCGAATTCTACCAAGGTTGGTCTTGGGATCTGGGTGTTCGCGGCCTGTACGCCTCGCCATTTACCAAGCCTCATCACTCGTTTGATCGCCGCATGACCTGGTATTTCGGCCAATCGCAGCAGGTTTACTACGTGGTATCTCATTCCCTTCTCCCTATCCCGCCCTTGTCTCATGAAGGGTTCCGGAATACCCTCAATCACCACGTTGCGGTGCCTCCCTAAGGCCAGATCATTGCTCTTCTCCAGCCTTGTCAGTGCTTCACCCATCCTAATCTGGTTGGCTTCTAGCAGCCCCACTCTTTGAGTTAGGTTGGCTAAGCTCACTTTACCTTCAAGGCTATCTATTTTACTTAGTTCTTTTACCTGGCTGCGTAGGGCGACAGTCTGGTTGCCCTCTGAGCCGGCGGAGATATCAGTATTTGCCTTAGTGTTCCGCTATCTTCCTTAATACTTTTTTTCCGTTATGTGCTCTAGATCCCTTTATGTGGGAACTACCGCCTTTCCTTTATTTACCTGCCGATCATTTTGAGCTATCTCTCCTGAGTTTTCCTTCTTTATCAGTTCGCGTATGCGCGACCTGCACTCTCGGCACACAAAACTGAGGGTTTTGCGTTCTTGATATGGTAGATAATCTTTTTTACTAATTGCTGCACATCTGAGATTGAATCACCTCAAGCACGTGTCGCATTGTATTCCCTCCGAGGCAAAACCCTTTTTACACCGCACGTCAAATCCATGCTAGCCGGTGAAACAGGGTAATATACGGTAACTAACGTAAACAAGAAAAATAAAAGTAAAAGATGTGTAGCAGGGAGAATCTAGAGAGCTAATAACTAACAATGATAAGCGGCTCAGGGTGTAACAGGTCGAACCAGCAACAGACTGCTAACTGACTCATCTGGGTGAAATCTCATCACTATGCAGACCTCGAGAGGTTTAGCTCCTCACTCTTCCCAACCTTCAGGATTTTCCCGCTGCAGATTTTCGCCTTTTTCTCCCGTTTTATCGCGATCCTGCAGCCTCCCGTTCGATTAATTGAGCTAATTTCCAAGCTGAGACGCTTCCCACAAAATTTTGAACACGCTCGGTGTAGCCCAGATCATAAGCACTCCATAGACAGCGAAGCACTCTGGGCCCAAATCAGGGCTCCTGAGTTCATGCCGGAGGATCCGGAAACGTTCCTCGCACTTCTGGAATCGCGATTCCATTTTTTACATGAATATTTACATATTTACATAAATATCCCTGTGCACAACCCGTACGACGTGCTCAAAGAAGCACTTCTTCGTCGTATGGCAGTTTCAGAAGAGAAGCGCATCCACCTCCTCTTGTCAGGGATCCAATTGGGAAACTTCAAGACGTCCCAGTTGTTGCGTCAAATGCGTGCGTTAGTCGGCAACACCACACTGGACGACTCCGTACTACGCCAGATTTGGCTTCAACGGCTTCCACCATACGTCCAGAGTATTCTGAATGTTTTCGCACACGCCCATAGTCTAGACAAACTAGCACAGACTGCTAACCAAGCAATGGAGCAGGCTCAACTTTTCTAGCTCTCTTTGACCAACATCGGGAGTCCGGAGCCAAACTTCGTTCATCAGTCGCTCCCCAACCCTACTCCTGGCAAGCCCCTGCACGAGCCCACGATAGAAGATCAGCTTTTGTCTCAGCAGTTGGCCGACCTTCGTGTATCCTTGACCACTATGCTGGCCAAAATCAAACATCTGCAGACTACCCGCAAGACCCGTAGTCGAAACCGGTCAAGCACCCGGCGCAGGTGAACCCCCCTGCTAACACCAAGTAACGATATTTCGATACGAAATTACTACTTGCGTAGCGATTTGGTTTCACCGTCTTAAATGTTCATTATGATCATGAGATGTTGTTATATTTATAAAAAAGTAATAAACTATCGGTTGGTAGAAATATTCTGTGCACCATTTTTATAACTTTTGTTTAACAGTAGACACCCGCCATCAGGCGCTCATTTAAATTTCATTACCATTTCTCTGTGCGACCGGCTTTTCTTCCCAGAGTTAAATTGCCCCGGGGGACAAATAAACAGAGTATTAACGCGCGATTAAATGCTCATGCATTCCGTGAATGCCCTATTTTACATCGTTAAGACCAAATAATGGCAAATGCTGTTGAGCAGACTGAGGGAAATTGTAAGTTCAGTGATTGATCATATATTGTCTCATAATTTTCAAAATTCTAGGCATGGACTCAGGTTCATCAGCAGCGAACGTAGTTCCGGAAGATGTTCGAAGCACATCTTTTCACGTTATTGGTAATTTACTCTTATTATTATATCCCTTGTGTTTGTTATGATGTCCATGAAATTCAATCCATTTATACGGAAATTTCGAGGACTATGTTTAACACTGAAGCTGACTCAGGTAACTCATTATCTTCTTTTAAGGAATATTCCTCCGTAGTAACTGAACCGAGGGAAGCCCCGGTTCCATCTATGCTGGATCTCTGCCGCCGTCTAGCTTTGGAGACAAAAATGTCTGCAAATGCAGTCAACGTCATGCTGACAATAATGAGAACACGGTTTCCATGTCTTCCTAAAGATAGTCGAACACTGCTTCAGACTCCACGGTTAAAGAAATCCATCGCAGTGTACAGTGGTCAATACGTGTATATTGGTTTATCTGAATCCATGGATATAATCTTAATGGATCATGCTGTGCATGAATCCATGATAGTGCGATTGCAGCTGACCATCGACGATCTAAGTTTGTTTCGCAGTTCACTATTGCAATTGTGGCCAAAACTTGGTCATATTGTTGAACCACGTACATCGGTATTCCTCATCGGAGTTTACTGCGGAATGAGAAAACCGATAGATATAATGCAGTTTCTCACCCCTATCATCAATGAACTGCGTAAATCGGAAACTGCCGGGATACGCTTAGCATCCAAAAACATAAATGTAGCCGTTAAATTGGACTGCGTAATTTGTGATGCGCCAGGCCGATCCCTAGTAAAGCAAACCAAGTGTCACAGTGGCTACAGCTCCTGTGATAGGTGCACGACAGTAGGGGTTCACGACGGAAAGAAGATGATATTTCCACCCGAACAATGTGAACTACGAACTGATCACAGTTTCGGGACCAAGAGGCACGACGCACGTCACGTAGGGGAATCGCCATTCGAACTTGTAACTGTAGACATGG